TTGTATTATTTATGTTGATTGCATGAGATCATTCCTTGAACCTATTTCTGCATTTGAAGGTATGCATGGTGGGAGGCCAGAGAAGGCACAAACCAGTCAAGCTGGGGAGGTGTGCCCTCAAATGTTGATGGGTGTGAATGCAGCCTGACTGATACTTGCAAGGACCGAAACAACGTGTAAGCTTGTCAAAATCATGCGTATATATATATACTTGTTTAGTAGTACTTGTTCAATGTATGCACGAGCATCTCAGCATCTGGGATGTACGTTTAAACATCAGCATGGAATTGTCCTACAGGACTGAAAAATGCATGTTTTTGTAGGTGTAACTGTGACTCGAATCGTAATGAGTGGAACACAGATGGTGGACTTCTGACAGACAAGACGTTGCTCCCTGTGATGCGATTGAGGTTCGGCGACACTGGCAAGGGTGCAGAGAAGGGAATTCACTACCTTGGTCCTCTTATGTGCTTTGATGGTGAGCATTTCTACTAGATAGGCATAGGAATATACAAGGCAGAAAAGAAATACAAATATGTCGTTTATGCTACACTATGTAAGAATATTTAAACACTATTATATACTTATAGGGATAGTCATAACTTTAACTTATAAGATGATGTAATTGTGTGTGGCCTACGAAATTTGTATCTTATGTCCATGCACATGGTCCAAAATCTTCACCATTTGGACCATGTACATGGACATAAGATTTCGTAGGCCACACACGATTACATTATCTATGTAACATACATGTATGTCATCTTGTACATCTTGTACATCATTATCTTGTACATCTTGTACATCTTGTACATCTTGTACGACATGTATCGATGTACATGGTCTAAATGGTGAAGGTTTTGGACCACTCTGCATTAATATACTGCTGTTCATCTGTGAAAACTTACTTATATATTGCCTTATGAATGCATGAAAATTTGTGGTTGCTGGAGAATCAATTCATGGAGCATATGGTTTATAAAAATATTTCCATTACAGATGGTGACAGTGTTGCATTTACGGCTCCACCACTATGTCGTGAACAAAGTAATCTGGATTTAGCCGATAATTCCAAAGCAAAAAGTAAGTTGCTTCCAATCGATGACTGTATGATCTAACATTTATTACTTGTTCGTGAGTTTTCGTTCTTATGTTTGGCTATATGATTAATCCTTATGTTGACTTATTTTGTGCACTATTATTATATTTAGTTTTGAACTTCAGACTACAAACTCCTTGCTTCTGCTGCAGCTAGCTGCTATCTCTTGTGCATAGGAAGTCGGGTGAACTTCCTTGATCAGAGATGTTCATTTCCACCTCTATAGATATCTAGTCATTATAATATGACTTTGTGTAGAAACATGCAGAGATGAGACAATGCACCTCAGTTTATTCTGCAAAACACTCAT